AAGACTCTCTCTCTCTCTCTCTCTCTCTCTCTCTCTCCTCTCTCTCTCTCTCTCCCCTCTCTCTCTCTCTTCTCTCTCCCTCTGTGCACATGCGTGTATAGATCTGTGTGTGTATGTCAGAAGCTCCGGACTGTGCTATGCTGTCAGGATCCAGTCATATGCCTATATTGTAAGAAATATTTCTAATAACATGCTTACGAAATCCTTATTTTTACAGGGTAATTTTTTGGTTAGCTTTGCATTGGGGTGGAGTGTGACCACTATTTCTGGTGTATGTGCATACCCATTCGATACTCTGCGTCGTCGAATGATGCTAACTTCAGGACAGCCGTTCAAGTATCGAAATGCCTTTCATGCCCTGCAACATATTGTTCAGCAAGAGGGTGTGAGTGCACTTTTTAGAGGAGTGACAGCAAACATGCTTGTTGGAGTTGCAGGGGCTGGAGTTCTTGCTGGCTATGATCAACTTCAATGCCTGGCTTTTAAGCATGGTTATGGATTTGAAAATAAGAGGACCATTAAGGAATAGAACCACCAAATGGATGTGTAAACAAACACCCCAAACACCCCCCGCCCCTTTTCTTCTCTCCTTCTCTGTTCTTACACAAGATGCAGTACGTTCTATCCTGCATTTTATTTACAAACCTCTCTCCTTGGTGCTGCATTGGTTAGCTTCATATTCAAAAAGATTCCACTCTCTCCTGCAGCTAAATTCTTTTACCCAAGGTTGATTGCTCTCTCTCTCTCTCTCTCTCTCTCTGCCTTATGTGATAGAACCAGCACATGTGTGTAAATCTCCTTCATCTTCTTGTTCAATATGAATTCTTGTCCTCTCCTCTCTCCTCCACTTTTATGCAAAGAGAGCTCCCTCTCTCAGCAACACTTCAAGAGATGGCATTCCGTCTCCTGTATCCAAATTCTTTCATCCAAGATTCATTACCCCGAAAAGGTGCCCACAGCTTCATCGTCGTGCTTCTCAGCATGCTTACTGCTTCAAACTTCAATATGGATGGAAAATTGTATGTATGTAGCATAACAGTCTAATTGACGATTTTTAACTTCATTGCAATGTCACGATAAGGAGAAAATGAAACAGAAAAACAGATACACAATATTAGATGGTGAAAAGAAAGGGTAATATGGAGAAGCCATTGGGAATTGTTTGTGGGGACTGAGCTTGCCCAATGTTGTACAGTGATTTGTGGATGTTATATGATGGTTTATATCATTTTTGCCATGATTCTTCTGAAATACATGGTGGGGACTTGATTGCCAGCCATTAAGTACCCTTTGACAACCCTAATTCTCTGTTTTCCTTTCTCTCTCTAAGCTAGCGTGTCGGGTATTTCTCTCTCTATATAATTTTAAGTGCAGAAAATAAATCTGGTGTTACAAATTATGCAGAGAGATAAGAGCTGGCTACTTTAGTTTCCAAATAATCGAAAATGGCATCTTGTTTCACAAACTCAATGTTATTTCCTCAAAGCATTGTATGCTAGGGACAAGAAATTTACATTGAACCTCAAACCCATCGCCTGAACCCCCGAGATTTTTGGCACTAAATCCCAAAACTCAAGTTTCACTCTGAATATTACAAACTGCCCCCAACTGGTTTTAAAAGGAATATGGACTAAAATATGCTCTCTATTATGAAAAATATTTTTAAACAAACTCTCACTCCTCAAGCTCTCCGTCTCCCTATCCAACTTTCTAGTGAGGTTCCATCTCATTAGGCCCGCAACACCCTTTTGCAGGAACAGCTCTCTCTCTCTCTCTATCTCTCTCTCATAGAGGGAGAGAAAGGGGAATTGAATTGTTAAGGGAGATGCGACTCCCAAGAAATAGTAGAGAAAGTAGAGGGTGAAAATGTGAACTGGGCCAGAATCTGATGTTCATGCTTCGATTTTGTGCTTAGAAGAAGAGTGAACGGTTAAATAAGGAAATTTATCAAAAACACACTTAATGTATCAACTGTTTAACATTTTATATATTTATTAAGAGAAATGATCTCATAGGACCCACCCCCATGTGTGTGTAAGATCTCAAATGATCACTATTAAATTTGGCATGGATTTTTAAAAAAATCAAGTCTCACACCCATGTGATAATTTTTCTAAATATCCGTGTCAAATTTAATAGTGATCTTTTGAAGTCCTACATACGGTGGGGAAGGGTCTTATAGGATCATTACTCATTTATTAAATATATCTAAAATGTCAATAATTTTACTCAATGATTTATATGAAATTAAAGAAAAAAAAAGAGTGATAATAGTTCATCTCTTTGTGCTTTTTGATAAACTTTGTGGCGAAATATGACTAGGATGTAAATTGTGGAGAGAATGATGATTGTATTGCACTTTTTAATCTGTTGGGTGTTTCCAAAGGAGGAGAGTGAAAACAAAGGAGTAGAGGTGGTAGCACCAGAGGTGGTTGTTGGTGGAGGTGTTGATGATCGTGGGAAGTTGGAGGGGAGGTAGGGGAAGAAAGTGTACGAGATGGTGTCGAGGGGAGGAGGAGGGGGAGGGCGAGGGCGAGAGCGAGGGCGAGGGGGAGGGGGAGGGGGCGGGGGCGGGAGATGGCCGCAAAGGTTGTGTTGAAGCAGTATTAGAAATCAAGTTTGAGCTTGAGCGGTTAGCAATTGATCTTTAGCAACCCTATATTTCAAGATCGATTTCAGCCTCCCCCAACCCCAACAAAATAAAAAGACTCCACTCTTTGGCTCAATCTCTCTCTTTGGAATTTCAAATTTTCCACATCAAGTTTTTGTCTTTTAGGCTCTATTCTACACAGGATGCAAATATTTTTCTTTTTTTTTTTTGCTATTAGGGAACATGAAAAGGTGGTCAGGGAGGTGCGGCTCAAGGAACTAGCCATCCGGGTCAGGGTGGCAGGATGCCACAACATGACATGCTTAGTTCCATTTCTACTATGTCCTAAGTTAAAGTAAATGGGAAAACTTTTTCTATAGTGACCTCTAGGTTTCAAAACCCAGTCCTTGATTAGTAAGTTACAAGATATTTGGCTATGTCTCTCTCACAAATTTGAATTTTTATTCCATGTTTTCTTGGTACCTATGCGATTTCCCAAATTTCTCCCGTCGCATCATCTCTCTGGTAATCATTACTAGAGTTGAACGTTTTTTATGAAGTTGTGAGCATGCAGGTTTTCTGTGAAGTGGGCTCCAAAATCTTTGCTAATTTCTTGACTCTGAAAATTTGGTATAGGGAAATTTATCAAATTATATTTGTCAAGTCTTACCTAAATATCAATTATGCTAACTAAGGGTCACATTTTACTTGTAGGATTTATATTAAATCAAAACAAATTCATGGTTTTTGAAATTAAATCAAAAGAAATAAGTGAGATGTTAAATAGTTCATATACTAGATACTTTTTGATAAATTTTGCATTCAAATTAACTGCACTCAATCTTCATTCTATTTAGGAAAATAACTTAAATCCTTTCTTTAATAACTGTTTCTCATTTTTTTGGAGAGTCATGCTTATAACAAGGATCATTACCAAAAAAAAATAGGGAGAACAGCAAAGTTTAAATTTTATGGACCACGAGCTTCTTACTAGCAAGGATTTTGAAATTAGATTTCGAAATGTATATATAATGAGACCATTTATTTTTATACAAGAATTTCACAATCATTATTGACCACTAGATGTGAAATCGAGTGGTTCTGTATATACAATCCCATTAGATTCACTAGTAAGCACTCAGTTACAATATTGGGAATATAAGTGTAAATTTTTTGAGTTTTTTGCGTTTGCATCAATTTGAGTTGGATCACCTCAAATTGCCCAATCCAACCAGGAAACTGTGCACCCCACTCGGTTCTCCACGTGATTGATTGAGTTTAATTCAAAATTTTCAAAATACTAGCAGAAACTACTTAAAAAATAAATGAGGTGGTTAAATCAACAAATTTACTGAAAAGCATTTTATCTTTTATATATCTCATAAAACTTCTACTAAATTACACTTATCCTGAATTTCCAACAGTGACCTAAATACCTCTACTTATTTCGGCATCCAATCTCGAAACAAGTCTTTTTAATTCCAAACCACGAAGAACCAGAAGCAAGAGAAGTTTCGGTATTTTTATCAAAATGGTCGAAAAGTAGGGCTAGCCAGCTATGGCCCTAGTCTTTATAGGACTTGACTGGGCCAAAGCGGCCCCAACCTAGGGCGAGGGCTAGGTAGGGCCAAGTAAAATAAAATATATAAACAAAACAAAAACAAAGAGAGTTGGACTGGGGCGGGTCCTGGCTTTGGCCTAGGCCCACTGCACCTACCCTTGAACCATGGTTGAGCAACTTTCTTGGACCGGGCTAACCGGGCTGGGCCTCCGGTTAGCTCGAGCCATCCGGCCCATTGCCAATCTTAAAGAAGAGATGCCTAAGTGACAGTGTTAAAAGATATTGAGGTACGTAAGTGAAATTTCTAAAAGTAATTTCTTGGTTAATTAGGTAAGTTAACTACCTCATTGAAAGACCATTAGGCTGGTATTTTCGTATATTTGTCGCATTGATGTGAAATTTATTGACCCATGCCAATGTATTTGAACACCAATGTCCCTCCCACCCATTTAGTTTTGCAATCTTCGCTCTGGTTTCCTGGCCTTGAAGGTATTGTGCCCTAAATTGGCTTGAATTTGTGACTCAATTCTGAAAAATCTTCTTGAATTTTCTCCCAGATCGTATTTCTAACTCTGCCCAGTGTTTCTCTCTCTAAAAATCGATGTTTCCCGTTTTTTTTTTGGAATTCAAATTTGCTAACCCTAATACTGTTTAGCCGAAGCACTTTCTCTCTCTAGAATTTGCTTTAATTCTCTGTTCTCTTTCATCTGCGTTTCATTTGCGTGTGCCTGTTAGTTTCTAAGGTTTGGAGCTCGTTTTAGGTTTTTGTTTCTGTTGAATATGACATTAATTGTGATGTTGAAGCTGTTACTGAAATTAAAATAGGCGCAAGGTTTTGATGATTGACTGGTTTTATTCTCAATTTTTTTGAACTTTAATGTGCTTGATAGGGGTAATTGTATGTTTTATGCAATTGGGGTTGGTAACTGGTCGAGTTCTCTCTCTCTCTTTTCTTACCGTCTATCGTGTTTCTGTTTTGAATTACTAGGTGAACATATTTTGTTTTGCTAGTGATTTGTATATTGTTGGGATAATTCTGCCCTTTCCTATTTTTTCTTTTTAATTTTTCCTTGAATTGCCATTTTTGATATTTTTATATTCTCTTATTGCTTATTTTTCCATGTACTTTCCTTTTATTCCCATTGCTGGCATATTTACTCTTTTTCCATTTTTCCAAATTGTAGCTTGGTTTTATTTATTTTTCATTTTACTCTTGATTTGTATTGTCTTTTTTTTCTTTCCTTTTTGACTTGTAAATTTTATTCTGGGAATAGCAACAATTTTCAAGCTTTTTATGCTGAAGAATTTGTATAATGAAGGTGAATCTTCCTTTTTTTTTATATGCAACCAATGGTGTATCCTTTTTTATATATACGCCTTTTGATATAAGTTACCAAATGGCAACAAGTTACAGGATCTTGTCCGTGCAATTTGGCAATGTGTCTTGGCAATGCTTATGTCATTTATTTTTGCAAGATCATGTCGATGCAAATTTTCTTTCTTTTTGGTGAAAGATGAATGGCAACAATTCTGATGAAAAGCCCCTCTCGGACATTAGTTGCCTTGCTGATACCAATTTAGCGAGTAATGTATTGTTGAAATTTCTCAACCTTGACACTAAAGACAAGCCCCAGGCCGCTCCACAAACTTCATATGGTTGTATGCCATATCGCAGTTCGACATCTTTGGTGGATGCCTTAGTTTAGTCCAACTTCATTGGCAGAATAGGCTGTTTACTTTGTTTTATGCTTTGGAATCTAAGGTCTCATGCTACAAGAAAGCCACATCTCTCTTTTGTTTGCCTTTGCAATCTTCCTTGTGTCTGGGTGATTAGATTAGGCAGGACATCTTTCAAGCAAGAGGGAAATAGCCTTTACTCTAGTTTGCCTTGAAATGTTATTAATCTTTTGTTCTTCGTCAGTATGCTCCATAGTGTATGAACATACTTTTTAATGTTCCGTGCGAGTCTGTCTTGGATTATGGGGTTTATTTTCTGATATAAAATCCCTAGGTTGACTTTTAATAGATTTCTTCTTGCTGGCCCCTGCTTTGAAAAGCATGCCTATTCGTTGTAAGGTCTGTTACTGTTGTCATAGTGCTTCCCATCTTTCACCATTTGCTTCCCATCTTTCACCATTTGCTTCCCATCTTTCACCATTTTATCTTTGTATAGATTTCCTATTATTCGTCACTTTTCTTTGCTTCGATGTGCAATTCCAAAATGAGTCAAACTTTCTTGAAGACCTCATTCTGCTTTGGAGTTTGTACTGCTTATATTTTCATGTGTTTATGATTTGCTACTCTCTACTTATTAGAAAAGATAAAAAGAAGACTTAATAGTTTGATTGCTGTGTCTATCATGGTTGCAGGGATGGGTACTGGTGAGAGCAATTCACTGGTTCAAGAGGATATGGAGAAAGCCCCAGTTTCAAATTCGAGGGGCACCACTAGGTCATGGGGAACATTTTCCAGTGGTCATGGCCAATCTCTTTCGACAAGTGAAAGTGCCGGTTCTCCATCTAATCGAAGTGAACCAGCAATAGCCACTCCTGCAACTGAAAGCACATTTATGAGATTAAACCATCTGGATATTCAAGGAGAGGATGTTGCGTCTCCTGGGCCTTTAGGGTGAAGTGATGTTACTTTTAATTGTCCCTATTTGTAGCTCTTTGTTTCCCTTTAAAATAAAGGGATAGCACACTTTTCCATACCAATTGCGGTTAATATATCGTTTTCATATGAACAGTGGGAAGAAGAAAAAAAGAGGTGCAAGAGCAGTGGGCCCAGATAAAACCGGCAGGGGCCTTCGCCAGTTCAGCATGAGAGGTAGTGTGACAATATAATCACCATTACTTCTAGTGTAACTATACTTTCTCCCTTGGTAGTAGTGATAACTTTCAATTTTGGAATAATAAAAAATTGTAAATTCAGTCATTAATGTTGTTATTGCATAATTAGGTACCCCCATACTATTATCTAGTCTCCTATGGAAAACTTTGGATAAACAAAAATTCCTTTTCTCACTATAGTGCATATCATTAATTGGCCTTATTCTTTTTTGGCATTTGCATTGCTCATAGATGAGTTTTATCATTAATGAAAGCATTATCTTACCTGGAGTTTATTTGTTCTTAGTCTGTGAGAAGGTAGAGAGCAAAGGCAGAACCACATACAATGAGGTAAGCCATTTGTTTGGTTTCTATTCTATATTGTTCAAGGCTTGCTTTGTCTTTTATTTTTTATTAAGTGAACCTGGCTTGTCATATCATGTGTATAGGCTTTGCCACCCAGATGGTGTGTCCAGCTACCATTTTGTAATACAAGCATACATATGTATTTAGGCCCATTTGGATCTCCACTTTTTTGGCGATAGCACTAAAATTGCCTGATTCTTAAAGCTTGAATGGGTGGTATTACACTATTCATGATGCAATATAAAAAATGGAACCTGCTTATCCTGAAAATGCCTCTAGTCGGCCCCGTTTTGGCTTAAAGGGAAAGAAATAAAAAAGACGTCCATCTCTATAATGTTAGCATCACAAAAAATGTGGGATATCGTTCCACTTGATTGTGATCATTGATGAGTGCCTATTTTCACTAGCCCATAAAGGTAGTAACTAAAGATAAGGCTTGGATATAGCTACTAGGATATCCAAATGGGGTTTAATTTAAATTCATGTGTAGGAAGCTTTTTTACCTTTGATAATTACTTCTAGAAAGTTCACCATCATCATCAAAGCATATTTCCAACTAATTGGGGGTCGGCTACACGAATCCTGGTTCGTCATTCTGCTCTATTAAGGGCTATAACCTCAATGAGGCCATAAGTCTTTATATCTTTTCTTACTACTTTCAATCATGTTCTTTTGGGCCTACCCCTTACCTTTTTTCAGCCTCACACTTGAACTAACTTGCACCTCCCAACAGGTTTTGTACTGGGTCTGCGCCACGCATGGCCAACCCACTTAAGTCTATTTTTTGTCATCTTATCACCTATTGGTGCCACACCTAAATTCTCCCGAATGTATTCATTTTGAATTCTATCCCTTCTTGTTTTGCCACTCATCCATCTCAACATCTTTAGCTTAGCTACACTTATTCTATGGGTATGTTGTTTTTTGGCTGCCCCAACATTCTGTCTCATAAAGTAAAATTGGTCTTTTGGGCCTACCCCTTGCCCTTTTTCAGCCTCACACTTGAATTAACTCGCACCTCCCAACAGGTGTTGTACTGGGTCTGCGCCACACATGGCCAACCCACTTAAGTCTATTTTCTGTCATCTTATCACCTATTGGTGCCATAGTTAAATTCTCTCGAATGTATTCATTTTGAATCGTATCTCTTCTTGTCTTGCCACTCATCCATCTCAACATCTTTAGCTTAGCTACACTCATTCTATGGGTATGTTGTTTTTTAGCCGCCCCAACATTCTGTCTCATAAAGTAAAATTGACCTTACAATTGTCCTATTGAACTTTCCCTTCAGCTTCATTGGTATACGGGGATCACATAAAACTCTGGTTGCACATCTCCACTTCACCAACCCAACTCTAATTCTATGTGCGACATTTTCCTCAATCTCCCCATTTTCTTAGATTATCGACCCAAGATATCGAAAATATGATTTTTTTTTGGTATTTCTTGGTAACTTGTAGGAAGATAATAACTTGAATTATATGCATTGCAATTAGAGCTGGATATTTAGTTCTTTGGTCCATGTAAATGTATATGTATGTATTGAGTCCATGTATTATGCATGCATGCACATGCGTGTGTGCACATGTGTGCATGGAGGTTCTCACTATCTTGTGGACAACTCATAAAAGAGAATCTTCAACACGACTTTAATTTCCTCTCTTGTAGTTCTTTTTTTAAATATTTACATTTTCCTACATGCTATGCAACTATGTGTGTAGGGTGACATGTAAATGCAAGTATCTAGGAAAACTGTAAGTGACTTATTTATAGAATAAAATAGCACTTAATCCTTTTTTATAAAGAATCAAAAAGCTTTGTGATGGCTTGCAAATCCATTCCCCCTTATCGGTATAATTTGAAGCTCCAGAAATGGTGCAAATCCCAATAGATCTACGAAAACTTGTAATGAGCGGTCCAAAAAATGTGTTGCAAGATGGACCATTGTATAAGGCTTGAAATCCACCTTTTTTTTTTCCGAGATCCATGATCATAGAGATGGAAATGAATGATTTGCAGGTTTGCAAATGTTGAAATTGCATGGTCTAGTGATATTTGACTTGTGTCTATATGAAGCCGTGGCTTTACAAAATACTTTTCTTTATATAACTGACTCTTTGTGTATACAAACATTGGCGGAAGATGCCTATATTGGCATGAAATCACATAGTGCAATGCTATCCCTAATTTATTCCATGCTAGAATCACAATGCTGGCACGAGTATGTATGTTTCTTAAGATATTTTGTCAAGCTTCAAGGCTAAATTCTACTGGCATGACCAAGGCCTCCTCGAGCAACAATTTTGGTTCCAGAGGAGTCACCTGTTGTCTGTCTCTATGATCAAAAGACACTGGGACATGAGCTAGTTGTTGACTGGGTGCTACTGCACTAAAGTTCTGTGCAGCAGATGATCCGAGTATTTTCTGGTCCAATAGGAGCGAATATACTCATAAAACAAATAATAGCAAACTTCGCATGGAAAAGTAGAGGAATAGAGGTCCTCTCGTCTTCTAGTGCAATTCCGTTGTGAGTTAATTCAGCTTTTAATATATGTAATGCATCATATCATTAATCAATAACTTTGTCCATAAGCCTCTCATGTGCAGTCACAAAATGGAAGTTGATATTACTAAAAGCCTAATTTGGGTTTTTTTTTTTTGGGTTGGGGAGGAAGGGGGGGGGGGAGGTGGGGTGTGAGGGAGGTAGAAAGAAGGGGGAAGGGGGGGGGGGAGGTGGGGTGTGAGGGAGGTAGAAAGAAGGGGAAGGGGTTCCGTGGGGGTGTTTGGACAACAAAAGCTTGTGTCACTAGTGGATGTAAACATACCATTTCATGGTTAGATTAGTGAAGAGGTAGGATTTTGTAGGTTAGCTTCAAAGTACAATTTTTGTAAGTCAGCTCATGCATCTTGCAAGTAAACAATCAGTGTTCAAAAAATTGAACCGGCCTCGGAAACCCAAGGGTTGGTTTTGAGTAACCGGTAAACTGGTTGGTGCAACCGGCCGAACCGGGCAAGTCCCGACTCATCAAAAAGGTCTTAAAAAAATCTAAAACAATATGAAAAGCATATTTAAATCATGATTAAACAAAACAAATCCAAATCCAAATGAAGTTGAAAATTAGTGCAAAGATAGATTTTAAAAAATTGATTTGTTCTCAGGGTTATTTTAGAAAATTTTCAAAAAAGATGGGAAAATGTAAAAATACGTATTCATGGCCAAAGCACTTTCCAATCTTTTCCAAACATTAAAAAATGGATTACAAACAAATCCCTTACTTTTTGGGATTTCGTATAATTTTTTTTTTAAAAAAAAATACCCGGATGGATCACCAAAACCGGCCAAAATAAGAACCGGCTAGTGCTCAGTTCCGGTACCGGCCGGTTCCGAGTTGAACCTGCTGATATTGCGAACACTGTAAACAATTTTTGAATTGTTGGAGTTGCGGGTGCATACTTGTGGAGATGGTAGTAGAAATGTTCTTCAAATTATAGTAGACCGATGCTAATGGATAAAAGGAGGCAACTAAATTGCCCATGGGCATGGGTAAAGGAGGGAGTTTTTTATTTTTTTTCCATTTTAAGATTGAAATTTCAATTTTTTTTTCCATTTTAAAATTTCGAGCCAACTTTATTGATTTTTCTAGCGACATATGGGGCTGATTTTGTGGCTACCATTTGAAGAATTCCAGGCGGAGATTTATCGAGTTATTGAGGCTTTCATCTTTGAAGAAGATCAAACAAAGAATTCATAATTTCTTTCGAATTTGGATTTGAGATTGAATACAAAATCAATTTTCTCGATAAATTCCATTGTCTTATTTTCTTCTTAAACAATGTATTGATTTTCTTTAAGTAACAAAGATCCAGCATGGATATATGCGAAATTCTCCAAACTTGAAATGGCATTTATTGTACACTTTGTGGAAAAACTTATATGGGTTGGTTTACTAGAAAAAGGAACGTCTTGCCGGTGTTCCAGGGAATGTAAGGGCATGCTTAAAAGTGACCGATGAAATTAAAGAGAGATTTAAGCATATATTGAGAGCCAAAAACAAACAAAAGAAAAGAGAGCATTGAAGCATTTGATAATTTGTGGGTGAGGTTCTTATCTATGATGATGGAGATGAGGATGATGATTACTCGTAAAAAAGAAGATGAGGATGGTGATTCTCATAAAAAAGAAGATGAGGATGGTGATGAAGTTGGAACACTAGTAGGATGATGAGGGGGAGAGTGATCGGTATTGTTGGTGTTTTGTAAAAGAGACCTTGCCAAAAGGGGATGGCTGCATTTTGCAACCCAAACCTGAAGTTTTGGTGGGGATAGACAATGGAAACCTGAGCAAACAACAAATAGATACGTATTCAAAAAAGAAAGAAAGGAGCAAGGTCTACAACTACTCAATGGTTTTACCAAGCCGTAATTCTATTCAATATCATCTACCTTGATAGCGTCAAGGTTAGGACTTATGATCAAGGCAACTGCTCACTGGCTCAAACGTCCTACATTTCATGAGCTCAGGGAGCCCCTATTCAGAGATGCAGTGAAGGATACCAAGAAGATACCGAATTCCCACAGAGATGGGTGGGATAAGTATGAGATCACAATTTTTTATGACAGATGTTCAAATGGAAGCACTCGCTCAATTATTAATATTATTTGCTCAATTGTCCCTTAGGGACTTTTTTCTTGAAACCTGTTGATCCATCTGGCCATTCACATGATGCAAATTACTTGTTTGAGTTGTTGATTTAGATTGTTGATGAGGTTTGGGCATAACATATGGTATAAATTATCACAAACAATGTTGCCAATTATTTTGCAGCAGGTTATCTATTGACGTTGAAGAGTATACATATGTTTTGGACTTCTTATGCAAGCTGTTGTCTAGACATCATGCTTGATGATCTAGGAAATTGCGTAGGGTTAAAGGGGCAATTGGCAAAGCTAAGATAGTAATTCATTTCATCTTAAATTATGCGAGTTACATTAGTTATAAGCATGATGAGGGAATATACAAAGGAGTGAGATCTTGGGGCTAGGAATGATTTGATTTTCTACAAGTTATGTCTCTCCAAAGTACATGCAGGCATAAAGATGCTAGATTTTTCTTAGCAAAGATCGCCTCGGACCTTGAAATTTCGAAGTGTCTCAGCTAAGTAAAAAATAAACACTTCACAAAAGAGGAAGTATGATGTCCTCCTATTGGAGGAAATTGCAAACTTATTCCCTTGAATAAAAGACTTATTTAAATCTACTGTCCAACTTTTTCTTTTCTAAAATAATCATGTGGTGATTCTACAGTGGATCCAAATCCCTTTTAGAAAAACATTTTACCCAAGAGAGTAAGTATATAGTGTGCACCTGGAAGAGATAGTGAATAAGTTAAGGAAAAAGGTGAATGTGTGTGCATTTAGTGAGCTGACACCGGCTCACTAAATCCACACCCTTCTCTCCTTTTTCTTTTCGTTAAATTGTGCTATTGTAAGTTCACACTGTACACTTGCTCCATCGGGTAAAATGTATTTTCTTTTTTAAAAATTTCAGAATCCACTTTAGAATCAGTAGATGATTATTTAAAAAAAGAGGAGTTTGGATTTTCTATCCAAGTCTTTTATTCGTGGAATTAAGTTTACACTATGCTCTCATTGGAGCACTCTATACTCTCTGTTTTCTAAAGTGTTATATTTTTTATTCAGGTGATACAGTTCCTAACCATTTTTTACTAAGAGAAAACGTATGACCCTGTGCGGAACTTGAAGTTGTGAACCAGTGTATCACAAAAAAAAGAAAAAAAAATACAAATGACCTGATCTAGAACTTCAATTTCCGAACCGGTCTTTCGCTAAAACAGAGACAAATGACCTTTCCTTCAAAAAAAAACAGAGACAAGTGACCTAGTTCATATTTTCACAAAAGAAATATAAAAGTGACCTAGTTCGAACTTGAATGTTGCAGGCCTGTATGTCACGCAGAAAAAAATTACTTTTTCGAACTGGGGTTATTTGAAAAATTAAAAACAATTAGGAAAGAAAGGGACATGAGCATAAAATATGAACAATTGGGGATTTTTTTTTAAATACCACAAATTATAAAGGATATTTATGAAATACCCTAATTTTATTTTTTAAATTTATTGTCTGTATTGGAAGTGATGTACCCGCATTGAGGTGCACAGCACATTGGATCGCCCTTAGCACCTAGCAAGGCGTCCTGGGTTTAGTAACAGATGTTTATATGTGAATTTCATTATCTTTATGTAGTGATACTGGTACAAGTAGATTACGTTGATTTGGTTATCCATTTATAAAATCAAAAGCTGGTTGTTGTCTTTTTTTATGTGATGCTATTCTTCTTTGCTGATAAGGGCCTCCTTCACAGGTTGCTGATGAACTTGTGGCTGAATTTACTAACCTTGGTGGTAGTCTTGCAACTCCAGACCAGGTAAGATGCTTCCAAATGGCAATTGATAACTATTGATGTCCTGGTCATTACAACTGGTTTGCGTTACGTGGTAATCTTTTCATGTAAGTATTTATTTATTTTTAACAGCAACAGTATGATGAGAAAAATATTCGGAGGAGGGTGTATGATGCCCTAAATGTTCTCATGGCAATGGATATTATATCAAAGGATAAGAAAGAGATACAGTGGAAGGGTTTGCCCCGTACTACCCTGAATGACATTGAAGAGCTGAAGGTTCGGACTAGTGATGCTTTTTCTTTTGTGTTCCTATTGATTTAGGAGCCAAATTCCTAAACTACACATTTATTTTATGTATCCTGGAGAAACTACAACCATAAAACACATCTCTATTTTATCTACAACTTAAGTTTTTACTCTTTATAAGTTGTAAATGATTTATAATTCTTTTGGCAGTCAGAACGCATTGCGCTACGAAGCAGGATAGAAAGGAAAGGTGCTTATTTGCAGGAGCTCGAGGAACAAGTAAGGCTTCTTGTCTTCTGTTTGTTTTTTTTTTATAACAAATATAAATCTACTGAAGGAAGTACATAAGTTGTCAAGGAAAAAGAAAGAAACGACTATTTGTTGTGGGTAAATAAGATAGAAGCCACCTAGATTTGCAAAAAAATCCAATAAGTGAGTCTTCCTATCGTTTGTGGCCTTCTTCCCTATGCATTGGTTGAAATTTAGATATTTCACTATATAAATTTTGAAAGCTTTTTACATGAGTATGTTTTCCTACCAAATATTGCCGTGCGGTATTATTGGCATGCTAATTCTTTTCTGTCTCACGTGAAGTTGTAGCTAACAACACCACGCTTGTTATTTTGATCTTGTATTAAAGATCGTAGGTCTTCAAAACTTGGTTCGTCGGAATCTGCAGTTATATGAATCAGGAAACGCTCCTTCAAGTGGAGTGGCTTTACCATTCATCTTGGTTCAGGTATGATTCCTTATTCATTTCATTGTACTGTGTCATCTATTTTGCAGTTTTTTGAGGCTCGGTGATATCTTGTTCCTGTGCTAGTAATTCTGTTTGTGAACCTTTGAGTGGGAACTGTAAACAAGTGGGCATCTCTGGCTATATTCTTTCCACAAAGTATTGATTTTGTACGTTGGGGCCTTTCCTAGATCCCAATTTGCACCACTCAGATTTTGTATTTTATTGAATGGATCAGTTTTCATAGCTTTAACATAATTTTTTTGGCATATTTCTGGGTGACAGACTCGACCACATGCAACTGTTGAGGTTGAAATTTCAGAAGACATGCAGTTTGTGCACTTTGACTTTAACAGGCAATAATCATTTCCTCACCCTCTCTCTCTCTCGCACACACTCTTACCCCTCCGCTCTCTCTCAAGTACATGAACAATCTCCCTCTCTCTTTTCTCTCTCACCACATGATCATCTCTTCCTCTCGCTCTCAGGCATGCACACATCTCTCTTTCATTTGCACACTCATCTCTCCCTCTCTCCCTCCACCAATATGCCACGCTCATAAACAATCCTCTCTGTCCCTTTCCACTCACATGTAGCATGGGGCAACTCTTCACTCGAATTAGGGAAAATTTTCAACAATTTAACAGCTTATCCTTTTGCAACTATTCCAACTCATGGTCATGGGTGTTTTGAAATTAAATCAAAAGTAGGTACAATGTTAAAAATAGTTATTTCTTTGGTGTAATTTAATAAATTTCTCCTGAAATTATGATTTTGGCAGTACGCCTTTTGAGCTTCACGACGATGCATATGTTCTCAAGGCAATGAGATTTTGTGAGGGAGGACAACAACAACAACATGGGAATGCCTCGGTCTCCCAAGAAAGTGTTAGGGTTTCTGAGGGGGCTGAAAGTTCGAGCATGCTTCATCATGGCTTCACGCACCACCATCATTCCATGCCCCAAACTTCAAGTTATGGTAGGCCATCGACATCACATCCCGTCCCTGGAATCCTGAAAGGGCGTGTTAAGCATGAACATAATAGTAGTAATAATAACGTGTAATGCATCCTTGTTCTGGTCCTTGTAATCTCTAATGTGGGCTATCTTCCGCTCATTTTTGTACAGTGTGTGTAATAGTCTTTGCTGCAATTTAATCCAGGGAAGTTTCCGTACGGATCCTTTTTTATATATATATATATATATATATATTTTGAAGAGGTCCTCTAATTGTTTTATTATACAAACTAATATCTTTTTCCGCCTAGTTTTTTTTTTATTAACCAAAATGCCGCGTCGAACTAAGATGAGCTTACGATGGGCCAAAAATTATATACAAAGTCCAGTGGACCCTTTAAGGATCGAACTAGAATTTCAAACTATTATTATTTATTTAAAAACAATTGCCAAATAAGTTCGACCCATCAAGGGTCAAAACCACTACACCACCTAAAGTTTGACAAAGTTTCGTCTTAAGGGGGGAGAAGGCGTCATATCCCCTACTCCTTCTAGGGGTGGCAACAGTTTGGTCCTGTTGGATCCGGATCCGGCCCGGACCCAGACCCGGACCCGAATAGTATCCGGTTCTAGGTTTTGGACCTGGACCCGACCTTTTGGGCCCAAAATTTGGACCCATACCTGGACTGAGGTCGGGTCTACCCGTCGGCTCTTGGGCTTGGTCGGGTCCATTGTCACCCCTAACTCCTTCCAAACAGCATGCACACACTCCCTCCCTCCCTCTCCTAACCCCTTCTACCCAAGGCCAGCGTCTCTCTCTTCCACCTCAAATGAAACCTTGGTTCCTGTTCTCTTCTTTAGCCCTACTGCCCCTACAGTGAAGAGGGTTCCTATTGGTTTTAAGTGAACCAGATCTTGAGCTTCGTCTCTTCAAAGGTTGAACTGCTAATCGAGTTGACGTGTAGTTCAACCATTCAAGGGTTGAACTATTTGTTGGCCTTTTTTTTTTTTGGCAAAACTTCCAATTCGACCTTAAAATTTAGCCTATGATTTCACGATATTCTCCAGGCAAGGTATTATATTATATAAAGGGTGTGGTTTGTACCTCAAATTTTTATGACAAGATGTAATATTGGTGTAAAGAGTTCTTCAAGTAGCCTAATAATCTATTTTTATCTTTAATTATATAATTCTAAACTTAAACAATGATTCAAATCGAGTAGATCTATAAACACTCAAAAATCTTGAAATAGATAGTCTTGATAATATATAATAAAATAAACTATTTTTGGGACTCGAAAGCCTTTTTTTTTTCTATTTTTATATGTAACTCGATGTCGACATGATCAATTAAAGGGTTTTTCGACATCTAAACAATATTTTTTTCAATATATATTTGAGGTGCACTTTAATTTTACTGTTTAAAATTTTTATAAACTTTTTCCTTAAAATTTAATGATTTCTTCCATAAAAGTCCTTTTGACGGCATATGGACAGTTAACTAATTTACAAAAATCTCATCTCATCTGTTTATTTATTTCTTCTTCACTATAGCCTACATCTTATTTATGGAGGAGAAGCATAAACAAATACTAATTTTTTTTTAACATTACTATGATTTAATTCACCTATTTAATCACATCTACACATTTGGATCCCAAAGGCTTGAGATATTTATCCTTAGACTAGGGAACAAATGCGGTATCACCCCATGGTCCAAAATTTTATGTTGATATTTGATTTTTTTGAGTTGTTTTTTTATTTTCATTTTAAGCCATGTTCAAAAGTCGGATTTTGGGACCTTCTAAAACAAAAACTAAACATATTTGGGTAATATGATAGTCCAACTTTCAAACGACCAGAACCAAATATAAAAAAACCAAGTTAGGTAGAACCACCTGAATAAATCAATTAAAAAACCTATGTTTCAAGCGGAATGGGCGTTGGACTCTCAAACTGCCTAAATACATAATTTTTTTTCATGTTTTCAGCAGGTAAAAGGGAACTAAAAAAACAACTCAAAAAACTAGGACCATTGGATTCTCAAGCTGCCTAAATACATAATTTCTTTCATATTTTCAGCAGGTAAAATGGAAATAAAAAAACAACTCAAAAAAGTTGGAAGAAATTTGGACCATACAGTAAAACCACATCTTTTTCTCAATCTATATGTAAATTTATCAGTAAGTAATAGAGATTGTATTTGCAAGAATAATACACAAATATTTGTAAGGCATTCAAGGAAAATTTTGACTATCAAATATTCATGAAATGTTATGTACAATGCTCTTAATGAGTGTATGTGGTATTTATGAAATTTTTACATGGCATTAGAGTTTAAACAAAGAAAAGGCATGTATCTAAAAGTAACTTTTAAGAATATATTATTCGAATCTATAAAATGTACACGTGCTTAAATGTGCGAAAATGTGCCACACATGTTCTACTGCTAGTATTGGGTGTGGTTTGTATAGAGCTTAGGCTCTAAACAGCTACTTTCAAATAGTGTCGAGAAATACTGAAAATATTTGTGATAGCCTTAAAATATATTTTTATCTTTATTTATAGAGTATAAAGCTTTAAAAATAGTATAGATCGATAGATCTTTGAAAAATTGAAAATATTAAAAATTAACGATAAAAAAATGTATTACAAAATACATAATTTTCAAAACTTTAAATCTATTTTTTTCTCATGTCCATGCATCTTGTGTCGTGATGATCAATTTTAAGATATTTGGGTATGAAAACAACCTCTTCTAGTGAAAATTTTGAAATAGGCTCAAATTTGATTGTTTAGAGCCTTCGGCTCTATATAAACTTTTCCCTTTGTTAAATAATTGTAGATCTGTTTGTGCTTTAGGCCTATGATTTGTAGCTAGAAAAGACCTAATGATATATGAAGAATATAAATTGTGATAAACAATCTACAAATAAAAATTTAAAAATATATTTTCTCAAAGTTCAAAATGTAGTTTTTTTTAACAATTGAATGTTGGTAGTAGTCGATATACTATTGATTTATGCTAGTGTATTAAAACTTGGATCAGTGGAGCAGATCGTTCAACTAGATCCGTATCATATTGTTGGATTGGCGACCTAGGTCGGGTTCGGATCCGTTAAAATTGATGATCCAAAAAATATTTAAAATAAAATGAAAAGTTAGAAGAGGGGTTTAAGGGTTTTTTTTTTGCACGGCGAGAGGGGGGATTTAAGGAAGCCCAACAAAATATTAGACAAGCAAGATTAAAAAAAAAAATTAGGAGAGAGGGATTTTGAAGGAGAACTAAATTGGTTCAGTCCCGATTCTTATCCAAATTGGACTAAAGGAAAATTTTTATATAGAGTTGAGGCTCTAAACAATCAAATTAGAGCCCACCTCAAAAATTTATTAAAAGAGGTTGTTTTGATTCCTAAATCTCCTTAAATTGATCATATCGACGTCAAGATCATGGACATGAAAAGAAAATAGATTTTAAATATTAAAAATAGTGTATCTTGTAATGTAGTTTTGGGCCATCAATTTTCAATATTTCATAGTTATGTTTGATCTACACTATTTTTTAAGACTTAAATTTTATAATTAAAAATAAAAATATATTTAAAAACAATTATAAATATTTTCATCAGGAACTACATTTATGGACAAAGTGAGCTTTACTTTGATTGTTTAGAATCCTGTACAAATCGCACCCAAAACCAAATAAACCAAAAAACCAAACTCGTTGCGAACATAAAGTTGGGGTAACGCAAATTTACGTAGGATTGGATTGGAAAACCAAAAATCATAAGGGCAGATAGAAAACGACTCGAGCCCTTTAGAAGCAAAGCCCCATACACTGACCGACCATTGCGATTTTAATGTTGAGCTGAGAAACCCTAACATCTTCTGTTTTCTGTCTTTGCTTCGTCTCGTCTGGTTTTGAAGCTCTTCAAAAATGAAGGTATTTGTTTTGTGCCCTAAATCAACTTTAACCAGTGTTCAATTTTTTTTCGAGTTTTCTCACAGATAATTGCCCTAAGTTCAAGCAGTGTTTCTCTCTCTGATGCTCTTTTTTTTTTTTTTTCATTTTGGCAGTTCAACATCGCTAACCCAACCACTGGTTGCCAGAAGAAGCTGGAGATAGACGATGACCAGAAGCTGTGAGCTTCTCTCTTTCTAAAATCTGCCTTTTTTGCCTCCTTTCATTTGTTTGTTTCGACTTTCTCTAGGGTTTAGGGTATTTCTTGCTGTGATCGTTATGCATGTGATTCTGTCATATGTGATTTTGATTGATTTTCAGAGGCTCTGCTTCTTGATGAGTTGCGAGTTTGATTTTTTAGTTTGAGATTGAAACCTGTGATTGTTTTTCATTGATTTGGTTAGAGTATATAGATTTCATACTTTTGGGTTCCTTAATTGGTAAAAAAATATCAAATTCTGAATACTATGAGGATTCCTGTTAACAGGCTTGATGATTAAATAATTGTTTCTATGATTCTGGAAATTACCCTATTAAGCGGCTTGAGTTTTGTTTCCATTTTCCCATATATATATATATATATATATATATATATATATATATATACACTAACACACTATATTAGTTAGTAGTTATTAGTATTATATGTAGTATAGTGTGTATATAATACTAAGGTAAGACGAGACTACTATACAATAATAATAAATA